CCACGGGTGATTCACATGGTGGCACTTTGTGTCATCGGGTGTTTATCGCTTGTGTGATGTCCTAGTGGGGTCAAATGTACTTCTACTTCTAATATATTTTCGTTAATAATCCTTGGGATTTTTCTGTGTGCTCTTTTTCTTTAATCAAATATTTTTAATTAGGGGGGGGGGGGAATGGGGTTGGGGGCGGGGGAGGGGGGTCTTGGAATATATATTTTTGAAAATGGGAGTGCCACCTGCAAAGTTTAAAAGCGACTGTTGTACATGAGACAATGTTTATATATTTTGTTTTTAATCCCGATTGTTATGATACAAATGTGGAAAATGATGCCACATATCGACAATTGAACGGGTTCGTTGTCACGACGGACGGTTTGAAAAAAAAAATCAGTTCTTGCGATTTTCACGCAGTGGTATAAGAGTCGGACCGTGGAAGTGATTGGGGCCTCAACACATCATATCCCCAAGTCGGACCATGAAAGTGATTGGGGCCTCAACACATATCCCCAAGTCGGACCGTGGAAGTGAATGGGGCCTCAACACATCATATCCCCAAGTCGGACCGTGGAAGTGATTGGGGCCTCAACACATCATATCCCCTAGTCGGATCGTGGAAGTGATTGGGGCCTCAACATATCATATCCCCAAGTCGGACCGTAGAAGTGATTGGGGCCTCAACACATCATATCCCCAAGTCAGACCGTGGAAGTGATTGGGGCCTCAACACATCATATCCCCAAGTCGGACCGTGAAAGTGATTGGGGCCTCGACACATATCCCCAAGTCGGACCGTGGAAGTGATTGGGGCCTCAACACATCATATCCCCAAGTCGGACCGTGGAAGTTATTAGGGCCCCAACACATCATATCCCCAAGTCAGACCGTGGAAGTGATTGGGGCCTAAACACATCATATCCCCAAGGACAAAAGTGGTACCCGGTAGCCAACCTTCGCTGTGGGGACAACATCACAGAATGAATGAATGTCAGGCCCAGGCTTCCCAGGGATTAAATTTATGACAAGCATCATCTTCTTCAAAAAAACATCCTTATACTCGTTTTCTGAGTTAATGTGTGTGTGTGTGAGAATGTGACAGCAGGGTGAAGATGTGTGTGTGTGTGAGAATGTGACAGCAGGGTGAAGATGTGTGTGTGTGTGTGAGAATGTGACAGCAGGGTGAAGATGTGTGTGAGAATGTGACAGCAGGGTGAAGATGTGTGTGTGTGTGAGAATGTGACAGCAGGGTGAAAATGTGTGTGAGTGTGAGAATGTGACAGCAGGGTGAAGATGTGTGTGTGTGTGTGTGTGTGAGAATGTGACAGCAGGGTGAAGATGTGTGTGTGTGAGAGAATGTGACAGCAGGGTGAAGATGTGTGTGAGTGTGAGAATGTGACAGCAGGGTGAAAATGTGTGTGTGTGAGAATGTGACAGCAGGGTGAAGATGTGTGTGAGTGTGAGAATGTGACAGCAGGGTGAAAATGTGTGTGAGTGTGAGAATGTGACAGCAGGGTGAAAATGTGTGTGTGTGTGTGAGAATGTGACAGCAGGGCAAAGATGTGTGTGAGTGTGAGAATGTGACAGCAGGGTGATGATGTGTGTGTGTGTGAGAATGTGACAGCAGGGTGAAAATGTGTGTGTGTGAGAATGTGACAGCAGGGTGAAGATGTGTGTGAGTGTGAGAATGTGACAGCAGGGTGAAAATGTGTGTGAGTGTGAGAGTGTGACAGCAGGGTGAAAATGTGTGTGTGTGTGTGAGAATGTGACAGCAGGGTGAAAATGTGTGTGAGTGTGAGAATGTGACAGCAGGGTGATGATGTGTGTGTGTGAGAATGTAACAGCAGGGTGAAGATGTGTGTGTGTGTGTGTGTGTGTGTGTGTGTGTGTGTGAGAATGTGACAGCAGGGCGAAGATGTGTGTGAGAATATGACAGCAGGGCGAAGATGTGTGTGTGAGAATGTGACAGCAGGGCGAAGATGTGTGTGTGAGAGAATGTGACAGCATGTCGAAGATGTGTGTGTGAGAGAGAATGTGACAGCAGGGCGAAGATGTGTGTGTGTGAGAATGTGACAGCAGGGCGAGGATGTGAGAATGTGACAGCAAGGCGAAGATGTGTGTGTGAGAATGTGACAGCATGTCGAAGATGTGTGTGTGTGAGAATGTGACAGCATATCGAAGATGTGTGTGTGAGAATTTGACAGCATGTCGAAGATGTGTGTGTGTGTGAGAATGTGACAGCATGTCGAAGATGTGTGTGTGAGAATGTGACAGCAGGGCAAAGATGTGTGTGAGAATGTGACAGCAGGGCGAAGATGTGTGTGTGAGAGAATGTGACAGCATGTCGAAGATGTGTGTGTGAGAAAGAATGTGACAGCAGGGCGAAGATGTGTGTGTGTGAGAATGTGACAGCAGGGCGAGGATGTGAGAATGTGACAGCAAGGCGAAGATGTGTGTGTGAGAATGTGACAGCATGTCGAAGATGTGTGTGTGTGAGAATGTGACAGCATATCGAAGATGTGTGTGTGAGAATTTGACAGCATGTCGAAGATGTGTGTGTGTGTGAGAATGTGACAGCATGTCGAAGATGTGTGTGTGAGAATGTGACAGCAGGGCAAAGATGTGTGTGTATGAGAATGTGACAGCATGTCGAAGATGTGTATGTGTGTGAGAATGTGACAGCATGTCGAAGATGAGTGTGTGAGAATGTGACAGCAGGGCAAAGATATGTGTGTGAGAATGTGACAGCATGTCGAAGATGTGTGTGTGAGAATGTGACAGCATATCGAAGATGTGTGTGTGAGAATTTGACAGCATGTCGAAGATGTGTGTGTGTGTGAGAATGTGACAGCATGTCGAAGATGTGTGTGTGAGAATGTGACAGCAGGGCAAAGATGTGTGTGTATGAGAATGTGACAGCATGTCGAAGATGTGTATGTGTGTGAGAATGTGACAGCATGTCGAAGATGAGTGTGTGAGAATGTGACAGCAGGGCAAAGATATGTGTGTGAGAATGTGACAGCATGTCGAAGATGTGTGTGTGAGATTTCGACAGCATGTCGAAGATGTGTGTGTGTGTGAGAATGTGACAGCATGTCAAAGATGTGTGTGTGTGTGAGAATGTGACAGCAGGGCGAAGATGTGTGTGTGTGAGAATGTGACAGCAGGGCGAAGATGTGTGTGTGTGTGAGAATGTGACAGCAGGGCGAGGATGTGAGAATGTGACAGCAAGGCGAAGATGTGTGTGTGAGAATGTGACAGCATGTCGAAGATGAGTGTGTGTGAGAATGTGACAGCATATCGAAGATGTGTGTGAGAATTTGACAGCATGTCGAAGATGTGTGTGTGTGTGAGAATGTGACAGCAAGGCGAAGATGTGTGTGTGAGAATGTGACAGCAGGGCAAAGATGTGTGTGTATGAGAATGTGACAGCATGTCGAAGATGTGTATGTGTGTGAGAATGTGACAGCATGTCGAAGATGAGTGTGTGAGAATGTGATAGCAGGGCAAAGATATGTGTGTGAGAATGTGACAGCATGTCGAAGATGTGTGTGTGAGATTTCGACAGCATGTCGAAGATGTGTGTGTGTGTGAGAATGTGACAGCATGTCAAAGATGTGTGTGTGTGTGAGAATGTGACAGCAGGGCGAAGATGTGTGTGTGTGAGAATGTGACAGCAGGGCGAAGATGTGTGTGTGTGTGAGAATGTGACAGCAGGTCGAAGATGTGTGTGTGAGAATGTGACAGCAGGGTGAAGATGTGTGTGTGAGAATGTGACAGCAGGGCGAAGATGTGTGTGTGAGAATATGACAGCATGTTGAAGATGTGTGTGTGAGAATGTGCCAGTAGGGCGAAGATGTGTGTGTGTGTGAGAATGTGACAGCAGGGCGAAGATGTGTGTGTGAGAATGTGACAGCAGGGCGAAGATGTGTGTGTGAGAATGTGACAGCAGGGCGAAGATGTGTGTGTGAGAATGTGACAGAATGTCGAAGATGTGTGTGTGAGAATGTGACAGCAGGGCAAAGATTGTGTGTGTGAGAATGTGACAGCAGGGCGAAGATGTGTGTGTGAGAATGTGACAGAATGTCGAAGATGTGTGTGTGAGAATGTGACAGAATGTCGAAGATGTGTATGTGAGAATGTGACAGCAGGGCGAAGATGTGTGTGTGAGAATGTGACAGCAGGGCGAAGATGAAGATGTGTGTGTGTGTGTGAAAGAGACAGCAGGGCGAAGATGTGTGTGTGTGTGTGTGAAAGAGACAGCATGTCGAAGATGAAGATGTGTATATGTGTGTGAAAGAGACAGCAGGGCGAAGATGTGTGTGTGTGTGAAAGAGACAGCATGTCGAAGATAAAGATGTGTGTGTGTGTGTGTGTGTGTGTGTGTGAGAAAGAGACAGCAGGGCGAAGATGAAGATCGTAAAAACTTATTGTAAAAATAAAAATCGCGATTAAAAAAAATTAAACGAGTGAGGCGAAAAAGAAAGATTTCTAGCAATGACGATATTGAGAAATTGCGAAGAAAAGGAAAGATTTCTAGCAATGACGATATTGAGAAATTGCGGAGAAAAAGAAAGATTTCTAGCAATGACGATATTGAGAAATTGCGAAGAAAAAGAAAGATTTCTAGCAATGACGATATTGAGAAATTGCGAAGAAAAAGAAAGATTTCTAGCAATGACGATATTGAGAAATTGCGAAGAAAAAGAAAGATTTCTAGCAATGACGATATTGAGAAATTACGAAGAAAAAGAATGGATGATGATGACAATAATAAACTGAAGAAATATTTTACAGAAAGACAGATGAAAGAGTTTCAAAGATGGTGGTCGAGAAAGATGACGAGAAAGAAGAAGAAAAAGAAGTAGAAGAAGACGAAGATGTGGTGGCTTCAGTAACGACTGACCAGAGCTAATGGTTGCAACTTCCACAAAGAAAAAGACAATAACAGGCAAATATTTACTGGTGTTAGAAAACGAAATCATTATTACTGACAAGTTACTTACATGCCTGTGTTTTCTTGCTCTGTGACTCGCTAAGAAGGGAAGCTAATATCCAAACAAGACTGGCCGATTGTAAGATCCAATCATTGCTACACGCCATAATTCTCAGTTCAAGGCTACAGTGCTCTACACACTGTTAGTTGTCCACGACGCTCGCCAGGGCAGGTGTGAGTGTTTCTTATCGACGAGAAACAACCACCACAGACCAACTATCCAGATGAAAGATAAGGTCAGAGCCACATTTTAACAAAGAAGTACGCCTCGCTTGAACAGCATGCTCGGCAAAGCAGTATCGATTAAGTCCATGGAAGTAATAATTCACTATCTTGCTACTATGTAATGGCTTTAGACTGGATCATAATGTTCTGTTAATGGTTTTGCTTGCACTAACAACGCGGACCCGGTCACAAAGACAAGGCCGTGTGGCATCACACTGCGGCGGACAAGAAGAATTGAACCAGTCGTAGACAGCTCGCCTGTGTGTGGTGCTGCTGTGCGAATTTGCCGCTTTTGATGTCGCTCGCGCTGTGACTTCGAGCGGAACACTGGAGTTTATTATTCCGCCATAAATCTTTCACAGGGGCATTGTAAATTGTCATCAGCTGTTGAAAATCTGAGGACCTGTCGACGCGTCGACCTTGTTATCAGTCTTTGAATCTGTATCTTTGCTCTAGTTCCTTCTTATCATTTCTCTGCTCGGATACACAATACAAATCGTTGCCGATTATTGCTGGCAGTTGATGAGAGGTCCCCGCATTAAACATGGCAGGAAATGAAGTTGTGCGGGTTATAATGAGGTTACAAAATTGAATAAACGTGTCTATAAATCGTGAAACGATGTGGGTATTATGTAATATGGCTTCATTTATATTCACTGTCATCATTACCCAGTGCCGTCTTCGCATTTGTGGTTGGCCTGAACGAGTCAGAGATATGTTCTTCATTACTAGAGCTCAAAATGTTTGTTTTTCTTTTTTTCTTTTTAACGATCACTGACTGTAAGCGCCGGGTAATAATTGTGGTTGTTCGTCCACTTCTGGACTTTGGTCTTATTCCAGGACTTGGTTTTTGCGTGCACATCTGTTTAACAGATGCAGGCTCTTTGTTCCTTGCTTCTCAAGCAGATGCACTACGACTTTTAAGGAAACATCCCTAAATTGTCGTCTCTCATCCCACCCCCCCCCCCCCCCATTTTCACAATGTCCTGTAGTCCAGAAAGGAATGTTTCTCATTCGATATGAACAGACACATTCTGGTCTTATTGGCGAAAAGGAGGCTCCTGACCCGATATGTTTGTAAGAGAGAGCCACGATAAATGTAGAGAAGAAGAAGAAGAAGAAGAAGAAGAAGAAGAAAAGTAGAAGAAGAAGAAACAAATGAAAGAAGAAGAAGTAAAAGGAAGAGGAGAAGTAGTAGTAGTAGTAGTAGTAGTAGTAGTAGTAGTAGTAGTAGTAGTAGTAGTAGTAGTAGTAGTAGTAGTAGTAGTAGTAGTAGTAGTAGTAGTAGTAGTAGTAGTAGTAGTAGTAGTAGTTCGGTGTATCTTCTACTTTAATACTAAAAAAGAGTTGTTGGCACGGTGTGTGGTCATTTACAGCCAGGATGCGGCTAGTCCGCCATTCAGTGCGTAATTTAATAGTTTGCCTTTCCTGAGAGCCCCAACCAGTGAAAGATAAGGCGATGTTTTGTCATGCAATACTTACATTGCTAGGGACGGATGATGTCATCAAGGGATGAACAGAGACATCAGGGGTGTATGCTTCAAGGCGTCGGGACAGATCTCCGTGCAGAGCTGGGATGGGTGTATGCTTCAAGGCGTCGGGACAGATCTCCGTGCAGAGCTGGTATCTAAGGGAACACCATCCTAGGCGGCTCAGTTAACGTGTCAGGTGTATACTACAGTTAGCTAATGTTTATTTTTTTTAAGGTTAGTTGTTTGTCCTTTACAGGACGCTGCAGAACCAACCCGAGCATATTTTGGTTGCTTATGATTTCATTAGGCAATTCCCCCGTGTGGGTTCCGGGGCCCCATTGTGGGGAAAACAAGAATAGACCCACTGCCTCCCCAAAAGCATGTCGTAAGAGTCGACTAATTGGGGAGCTTCCTTTGAAGTCGGGGTGCATCTGCCGGAGAGGCAAGGAACCAACAGTGTGTATTCAAGAGAATGAGATCTGTAAAACTGATGCACACGCAACACTCAGCTTCTGGAGCAGGACTGCAGTTCAGTAGTGGATGAGCAACCAGAACCTTCCGCCAGAGTTTACAGCTGGTGAACGCGAAGAAGAAAGAAGAAGATTAGGCAATTTTTAGTAGTTTGCCGTCGATATTGAACGGTCGAATGTTGATACCTCTATTTAAACCAACGCAAGACAGTCTCCTCCTCCTCACCCTTTTCTTCTTCCTTTTCCTCCTCGTCCCCCTCTTCTTCTTCTTCTTCTTCTTCTTCTTCTTCTTCTTCTTCTTCTTCTTTCCTTCTTCTTCTGCTCTCATGTAGTACGCTCTAGCATCTGAATGATTGTGTTCCATTCTGCCCAGACGACCAAGCTGTGTGATTCTTCAATGTTCTATGAAAATATTCACTAATTATTTGCCTAGGAGAGGGGTAAAGTAGCAATGAGGGCGTGGGTGTGAGGACTGAGTCCCTGACTGTTTTAATTTCTTGCCTAGGTGGTGAGGAGGGCGTGGGTGTGAGGACTGAGTCCCTGTTTTAATTTCTTGCCTAGGTGGTGAGTATGAAGGGTACGCTTTCCAGCATAGAAGATACAATGCCAATGCCAGTTGTCCAAGAAAAATTCCAAACTTGATCCTCTTTCAGCCGCCCGGAGGCCTGCTATATCGAAGAAGGGTCCTTTGCTGTCTTATATGGTTTCCTTTTATTTGTGGTGTGTAGTCACACCTGATATTATGGTTGTTTGCATCCTTGCTGTGCTGCGTTGTTTGCGGTTTTGGGTTCTGGTGTGTTCCAGATCTCTTTGCGGTGATATTGAAGGGTATTAGCTGACTGTTGCTGGTGCTTGGCTTGCCTCGTGCTGGTCGCTGTGCTGGTGCCCTGTTGCTGCTTGGTTGCCGATCTAAAAGCCGCCGGAAAAAGCCAAACAAACAATTACTGCTTTTCGTCCTTCTTAGGACGTTATTTTTTGTTATTTGAAGCCCCACTCTGGCTTTTGCCAGGGGCCGCAATATAGGCAGGTCATCATTATGGCCAAATGTCTGAACGCGGTTTCTGGGACCTCTCCACGGTGATCCTCATCCGCATGGTGGCACTTTGTGTCATCGGGTGTTTATCGCTTGTGTGATGTCCTGGTGGGGTAAAATCCAATCCAATCCAAAGCCAAACAAACATCCGTTGCGCCGTCGATACGAACAATGTTCCTTTTCAGGACAAACAGGGCCGTCACAATCTGTTGTTGTGATCGCCCCCCCCCCCCCCCCCAAAAAAAAAAAAATTTTTTTTTTCACGGAGTGTGGAGAAGTAGTGGAGGTGAGATAGACTGCAAATGAGAGATCAGTTTGCCCGAATGTACCAGTAGATGTGATAGTAAGGTCGGGAGAATGAGAGTGACAGATAGAGGTAGGATCCACCCTGGTCGGCTGAGGTCACCTGGTCTGAAATAAAATTGAAAGGCAATTGTTAACATACACGTGGGGTGGGGTGGGGTGGCATGACGGTGACTGGAATTCCCAAGTGCTGGTCCCCTTAGGTGCAATGCCCTCGGCTATCTGCTTCGGTGCGTCGGGCGGCCTGTGGTATATTCCGTTGTCTTCTTTTTCCTGAAAATAAACTAGATTAAGATTTTGATTAGTTCAATGGTGATTACGTGGTTATTTGCCAGTGGGGTGGAGCGGGTGGGAGTGGCTCCGGTACGTCGACACGCTGTCCGGTTGTTGGTTGTTGTGTTTTAGGCTGTCCGTAAAGATGGCGGCTTGTTCAGTGGGCTCTTTCTGCGGCTCTTAGAATTGGCGGCGGCCTCGTCTCTTGGGAGTGCCGTTATTCCAATTTCTCTTGCGAATTTGGTTCAGGGCCGCAGTAAGTTCGTCATGGAGTTTGTCAACCAGTTCGCGCGTTTCTATTTCTTCTGGTGTTTTGACTGTTTTCTCGAGGATTTCCCATTTGTATTTAATGCAGTATCGCCTACTTTCTTCGTCGTACACCAGCTTGTGCGGGTCAACATGCTCGTTGTATTCTTCAAGCAGTGCCATGAGGTCGGCATCGCAAGTTGCGTCGGATGCCGCTTTCAGGCTTCTGGGTGGGGTGACTGGCTGCCTGGTGGCTGTTTCATCGTTTGGTTCTTCGTTCATATCGGGGTCTGTCATCTGTTCCTGGTGCTGCATCACTACCGCTTCGGTAGCTGTGCTTTTGTCGGTACTTGGTTGTTTTACAGCTTTGCTGGAGGCCTCTCTTGCTTTCTCTAGCAGGGCGCGCTCTGTTCTTGCCGCCAGCACTGCAGCTTCGGCTTCTGCTTTTGCCTGGATCATAAGGTTGACTTCTTTATAAGTGCTCTCTCGGGCTTCCCTAAGTGCTTCGGTTTCCTTTCTTCTCTCCTCCCTTTCTTCTCGTCGGCGGGTCTCGTCTGCAGCTTTTTCTGCTTGTAATTTTAGTGTCATTTCTGTCAGGTTTTTCTGCATTTGTGCAGCCTCTGCTAGCCACTTTGTTTGCTGCGAGACTTGTTCTTGTCTGTCGTCGTTCAATGCTTTGATTTCGTCACGCATCTGCAAAATCAGGTCTAGCAACTGCGTTCTGTCAGCGTCGGTGTCGGTGGCGTCAGACTTTTCTTTGCGGAGAGCTCTTATTTCAGCTACAATTTCAGAAATTTGTAGCGAGATTTCAGGGTCTTTTGCGGTTGTGATCGCCTTGTCGGTTAGTCTGTCTGATGTCCGTTGTGCTGGCTTCCCACTTGGTTGCTTTGGTGCTGCTGAGGACCTGGGTGCCACGTATCTCTGACTAGCTGCTTCGTGGCCGGTTCTGAGTGACCTCTTGCACTGCTGGAGATACGGGCAGCCCATGTATCTCGCGCCGTGCGTACCAGAACAGTTGGAGCACTTGCGGTTGCTGTTCGGTTTTTTAAAATTAGTGTCAATTTTAGCCAGCGGGCACTCCTTGA